CAACATCACATTGAGATCAAATTTATTGGTGTCGATCTTCTTACCTTTCTGCATCAATTAAACAATTATGTTTACTTTTGTTGCATTTATTAAATAATTAGTTAGTTCAAGTAATTCAAGTGGTTTGAAGAAGTTCAAGATTAGACTTAAATTATTCATTCTCCAATTAACGAGAGCCCATTAGACTTAAAAGAACGTTGGTGTTGGAATTACTATGATTCGAGCACACAATCTTTCGACTAAAGATCCTTTGATAAATCCAGCTTTTGGTGTAAATGAATCACATAAGATCCATACCTTAGACCTCTTTTAATTCATTCTTGATATGCTATCACAACTTTTAATCGAAGAGGTCTCGTATTCGAATCCTCACAGTCCCCAATACGAACAGTTGATCTAACCACAACGTGCGTTGGCCCCGTGCAAACTTAACGAAATCGACTCATCAGTACGTCGAGAGTTCGAGACAAGCAAACATGGCTAAATTATAGCTGCAAATATGCTTTCATCTCATTTCCCCATTACACACAATTGTGATAACATTCCCATTTCCATTAGTGCACATGCAAGGGAATGAAATTGCCCTTAAAGATGGAGGCAAACTCATAAAGCTCCCAATCTTGTGTTGCTTCACAGGGAATACAAAGCTTGTAGTATCATCTTTAAATACATATGGAGAGCGACATTTGGTGTAGTTGGGAGGGGAATTTCCTCTTTTATTCCCAAGATCACTCTCTACGGCCACAGCATTGCGTGCAACATAATCAAAGGAATAATAGAATTGGGTATCTAAGATCGATAATGAAGAAGAGCATTTTCTGTTCTTCACTTGGATCGTATTCCCATATGATCAAAGAGAGGAAAAGGGCAGGAAAAGCCATAATTGGTCTTCGTGAGTGTCTTCTCTCTTTTGTGTATGAAAAAAGCAAAAACTTGATGCTTCAAAGAGCTTAGTGGGTGTACTATGATTAGTTACCTGATAGTTGTATCACGATTGAGGAATAGATATTTCTGGTGCACGATTAGGATGAATGTCGTTTTGTGGGTTAGGTGGGATTTTAGTGATCATAGAACAAAGGAGTTAATTATCTAAAGATACCAAGGTTGTCAAACCGGTTTATACCGTTGTGCCGGTTTGGCAAGTGGAATGGTACGGCCGGTGGTATAACCAGTTTGTGCCGGTTCATGTCGGTTTAAAAAAATGTGAAAACAATTAATATCAAATGTATTTAATCATATATAAAACATATTTGTGGACAATTTAGTTACAATCCAACAAATATCATCAACTTTTAACTATTACATTCATGTAATGAATAATAAATTATTTTTTAATTCATTAAAATGATGTCATTAAACTTAGAATGCGTAAGTCGATCATACCGGTTTCATGACCGACACAGGTTGAACCAGGTTCAACCGGGTGGCATGCCACCAGCATGACAACCATGAAAGATACCAATATTTAACAGTAACAAGTTGAGAACAAGTTGGTGTCATTTTGTAAGTGCTATAGGCGATTCACTTGCAAGGTTCTGAAATCAAATCGGAAGAGTTTCAAGAATAAAGGTCAAAAGATCTGCACCAATCAATGTAATGCCTCTCGTGGTAACCAAAAGGTCGTGAGCCAATCTTTTAAGAATGACACTTCGTTTCTATGCTATAATTGTGCGGGAAACTTGGTCATATGATATGAATCGTGTCTGAACAAGGTTAACTCTGGTCTCGGTGTTAACTTGACTAGAGAAGATGATTTAGTGGCTATGATAAAAGAAATGATAACTGAAGTTATCCACACCGGTAACTCAGAAGAATGGTGGTTGGACACTGGTACCTCAAAGAATGTATGAAATGATCGTCCTATGTTAAAGACATATACATAGGTGTCTACTGATAAGAAAGTGTTGTTGGGAAGTGGGAACTGCTCACACCACTATAGTTGCTGATTCTCGAAATGTGGAACTGAACTTTATTTCTCACAAGACACTAACGTTGGTGGATGATTTGCACACTCTACAAATAAAAAAGAATATTGTTTCAGGTTATTTTCTTAATAAGGTTGGATTTCATCAAGCTATGATGAATGATTTGTATATCCTTACTAAGAATGAGAAATTTGGGAGAAAAAGACATGCATATGATTAGATGTTCAAGTTGAATGTTGAAGTTAATAAGATGAATTCTTATGTTTACATGTTGTGTGATTTAAATGTTTGGCATACTCGTCTTTGTCATGTGAACAAACTAATTGTGAAGAGTTTGAGAAACTTAGGACACATCCTTAAACCCTCTTTGGATGAATTTGATAAACATGATTTGTGTAGTCGAGCTAAAATAATGAAAACACCCCATAAATACGTGTTTAGAGAATCAGAACCCTTAATATGATTCATTCTAATATTTGTGAACTATATGAGACATTAACTAGGAATGAAAAGAGATACTTTATCATGTTCATAAATGATTGCTCTGGTTATTCTTTTTTTTTTACTTGATGAAAAACAATACTGATGCTCTTGATATGTTCAAACGGTTTGTGATAGAGTTTGAAAGTTAGTACAATAGAAAAATCAAACGACTTAGGAGTGATAGAGGCTCGGAGTATGACTCTAATCCTTTCAAGAAATTCAATAACTCACTTGGTATCGTTCATGAAACTGCTGTTGAATATGAAGTGTAACCACTATGCTAAGGTTCAAATCGAAAGATGCCATAGTGTATCTCGACCTTATGTTCACTGTTGATGCACAGAGATAGTTTCAACATTATTCGAGTGAAAGATTGTTAGTGTGAGTATCTTTGAAGCTATAGTGAAGTCTCAAACTCAATACCACATTGGTGAGTGAAGCATTAAAAAAGATATATAAATAAAGATAGAACTCTCTCTCTAAACAGTGGAGCCCTTGGGGTAATCCACTTTTGTTGAAGATGGAGGACCAAAGTGACTTGCTAACCACACACGCGCACCCACCGTCCGGCCGCGCGACTGGTCTGAGCGAGCAAGTGAGTGGGTTGAGTTCGGCTTGAGACTAAAGAGAATAATGGATAGACGTAATAACTATCCTACCACACATTTTAATTACGTGAGTAATTATCTTTCTAAGTAAGACATGATTTATTTCACACGAAATAGGAAATATTCATGAATTCTCTGCTCCTGTAAATAGCATATTCCCCGTACTCTGTATTCACACAATTCATAGATTAGAAACACAAGAGAGTGATCCTCAGAGCTCCAATTTCGCACAAACCGAGAGTCGGAGAGAGTGGTTGTTTTATCTTGGAGTATGTTTAGCAATATACTACATTCTTTAACTTTTTATTTCGTTATTCTCTTAGTAATGTTGTTTTAGCTACAGGCATATAGGAAATAGTTAGGATTTTGCCTATATACAATCAGTGGGTTTAACCCTAACGTGAATTTTTCGACTATTCAGAAGTCTCGAATAATCTTGAACCCATATATCACGACATCAAAATATGTCTTACGATAAAAAAAAGAGAGAGAGAGAGAAGAAGAAGTTGCTAATGAATGGTTGTAATTGAAATTCAACCATATATGGACTCATGTTTGTCGCTTTTAATTTGTTTCTGTTACCTGGATGGCTAAGAATTACCTCGTTTCTTGCTAAAGTTTCTATAGCATTAATAGCTAAAAACAAGAAGAAAAGTTGGAACCCTAGAGAAAATGGAGGATGGATCGCCCCCCTCGTCCGCTGTGGTACTACTACTACTATATCAAAGGCGCGCAGCAGAAGTGAAGTGAATTGGAGAGGGGAAAGTGTGGTCACATTCACTACTCTCTGCTGCATCATCGTGCCTGCAAAGCTTCCATCTTTCTATATATTTTATTTCTCTTCCATTAACACAAATCGAAAATTCAAAAAACACACAAACAATAGAGAGAGGGAGGGAGGGAGGGAAGAAGAGAGAGAGAGGATATAGAAATATCTTGTGGCTGTGAAAAGGTGTAGTTCTGGCAAGTTGAAGCTATCCCACTTATGTAGCTAGTTTAGCTATAACACCCGTGAAAGGATTATAACACATTAGACTTTATATTAGTCATGAGACTTTAGAGTAAAACCCTAATTAATAACAAATCACAATTATGAGGAGTATTCAAAAGGGTCCTTTCTTGGTGGAGTTGCTAGCTCTACATGATGCGATTCGGTGGTGCCTGGCGAGAGGGCTCACATCCATAAATTTTACGAATGATGCAACGACGACATAGGTGTTGGATAAGGTCAAGGACAACCAATCGCCAGATGCACGTGATGGTGTGGTGCTTGAGGAGATTTTGGATTTGGTGGGGAAATTTGAGCGCTTTGAGGTTAAGTTTACTGGTTGACGTTGTAATAGGATTGCCCATTTGGTGGGAATAAAAGTCATTTCTTTGTTCTCTTTTGTAGTTGGGTTTGATTTCGTTCGATTGTTTCATTGGCTTTCATGTATCTTGTTGTTTTCTCGGTAATACGATCTATCTTTCGACAAATAAAATGGAAGGAATGAAAAACATTAGCTAGGGATGGAAACATGAGTGACTAAACACAATTTCAACCTTTGAAAGTGGTTAAAATTAATTTTAGTTATATGTTTACTTATCTCATCAAACTAACACTTGTTGAGTTAGAAGATCTGTATAAACTCATCATACAACTGAACATCAATTAAGTACTAATATTAGAAATATCTGAATTAAAGCACAAGACCTTGTGAAAGATTATGAATTTATGATACATATCAAATGAAGAAGTAGTTCGTGATAATTCACTCGAAACATTTGCTTCATAATCGAATGTTAAACCAGTCATTTGAAATCAATCCTAACTTGGCAGCTCTCTCCTCAAACCCTAATTCAACTGGAAACCCCTTTTTTCATTTCTCAACTCATTGGGTAACAAAAACAGTAGATTATTTTCACCCCCAAAGTACTACTTACATTAGTCTTTTCACTTGACATGTAACTTTATCTATATGCCATAACATACCCCCAAGGAAAAAGTCCATCTACTGTTGTGATACGTTAAAATGGTAAATATATAGGCTGTAGTCAGGTAAACCAAAGGAAAGCAAATCAAAGCAAAACCCATTTAAGCCTAGAGGCTGCTGAGTGAGAGCTCCTAAAAGCAAGAAATTGTTTTTCTTCCTCCCACAATAAGGAGAAAAAACAAAAGAAAGGCAATGAACAGAATATGTAAAAATGGGGGGTTTTATAATTATTATGTGTATATATATTTGGTGAGCCCAGTTGCCTTGCTCTAACCATTTACAGGCAGAAATAGAGAGAAAGATAGAGATAGAGAGAAGAAAGAAGGGCTTGCTGTAGAGCTAGCCACCTAATTCCTCAAATTAAACCTCCTCTCCTTCCTTTTTCCTTCCTTCTTCTTGTTCTTGTTCTTGTTCTGCTTCTGCTTCTTGTTGTTGATCTCTTTACCTTGTTAAGGAAAGAAGGAAGATCTCCATATGTCTAGCTGCATAGATATGGTGCCTGAGCAACTCTGCTACATCCCTTGCAACTTCTGCAATATCGTGCTTGCGGTAACCTACAATATCCTTTCCTTGTCTTAATTTTTTTTTTATCTACCAAGCAAATTGGGGTTTCATTCATGGATATGAAGATACAATAATAATGGTGATCCACATATGCATGTGAGCTAAGCAACCAACAATTCTGATCAATTTCTGTCTGCAAACCAAATTAAAGCTTTCTCTTTTTCTCTTGATGGGAATTTGTGGTGTGTGGCTTCTCTTCTGTGTCAAATCTGGAGAGAATCTTAAAGAGGGAAGAAAGCATGGGTTTTTCAATTTTTAGTTTTTTCATGGTGGGTGGAATTGTACTGGGGTGATGAATGATAAAAGCTTCAGCTGGTTTTTTTTTATGATCAGAAGTGTGACAGGCATCCCACTCAGAAGCCCTCTCCCATCAAAATTTCTCAGCTGGGTCTTTGTTTTTGTATTTTCTCTCATAGTCTAGTCAAGTCCACATCCTTTTGGACTTTCTTCTTCTTCTTCTTCTCCCTCTCTTTCTTTCTTTGACAGTCAAAAGAAAAGCGAGAGAGAAACAAGGCAATCGTCTGAAACATGAACCCAGAGAGATTTTTATGATGATAGATTGTGTGAATAAAGAAAAAGAAAACGTCCTCCCAAATTGCAAGTGTACGTTTTTTAATTGATGATGAAGACAACTCAACCTTCACCATTTACATAGTGCCTGCACCACAAACTGCTGCAACGAGACTTTCTCCCCTCTCTTTCTTGGACATTTCGTCGAACACCTAGCGAGCATCCCCCCAACCTCTCAACTCACTCCCGACCCAGTAATCGATTCTTAGTCTTCTCAATGTTTTAAATTATGGGTTTTGCTTCTCCCCAGATGGGTAATGAAACCCATCAAAGAAAATAGTAAAAAGGCGAGATCTTTGACAATTAGTTGGCTTTTGGTGTTTTTTTTTTTTTTTTTTTTTTTGGGCAGGTGAGCGTTCCATGCAGCAATCTGCTGGACATAGTTACGGTCCGATGCGGGCACTGCACCAATCTCTGGTCCGTCAACATGGCCGCTGCCTTCCAGTACTCTCTCTCTTCCTGGCACCACCAGGTTACTTCTACTTTCTCTCCTTCCTTCCTTCCTCTATATATACTAGGCGTGGCTGCAACCTCCTCTGCCATTCTAGGGTTTCTTTTTTTTTCTTTTCTATGTCTCGTATTATGTGCTAGTTGTTGTGTTTTATATTACTAGGGCAATGTCTCTAGACTGTCGCAGATGCTGCCTGCAGCCGCCAGCTCTAATAGCTAGTTATTACCTAATCCCTCTGATTTTTGCGGCTAAAAGCAAGCACCCTAGATGCCTATGTTGACTACTACCCCTAAATCTAGCTACTGCCCTTTCTCTTTTCCTGAAAAGAGAGAGAGAGAGAGAGAGAGAGAGAGATAAACAGTTTCGTGATTTGATGGGATTGGTGGTGATGAGATGTGTGTCGCGTCGTTTCTTCTCTCTCTGGTTAGGGTTTGGTTGGTTGGTTGGTTGGTTTCTGCCTTACTTTCATACATTCGATGGGAGTAATAATTATATGTAACAGACTCTAGTCACTTCAATGTTCCCCTCTCTTTCCTCTTTTAACGTATGAGTTGTGTTTTGTTGTTTGTGTGGGTATATGATTATTACGTACCATAGGGTGGAACTGGAACTGGAAATGGAAATGGGAATGCCTTTACTAGTAACCAGAACTATCATCATGCTGCTGCTGGTGGTGGTGGCTCGTCTTCGTCTGCTTCTGGCAAATCGAACCCGGCGCCCAACAAGTTGTCGGCCAGGTCGTTGGCCCCGGCTAAATTAGCCGAAGAACGAGTCATCAACCGACGTAAGTGTTGTTTCGTTGAACGATTAATGTTAATCTCGATGTTCGAAGTTAGATTGTGGTGGTTGTTTGATTTTCCAGCTCCCGAGAAGCGGCAGCGAGTGCCTTCTGCATACAACCAGTTCATAAAGTACGTATAGCTACTTTGGAACTCAATTTTTTTTTTTTATTATTAACTTATTCATAAGCTTCTGTATACTACATTTGTGCTTTAGTTTATTTATTTATATTTATGTAGGGTTTCTAGATGCGAAGAAGTAATTTTGCTGAACACCTAACAAGGAATGAGTAGCTGTGAAATGTAACTATGTATATGTTTATCATGGTATAGGGAGGAGATCCAGAGGATCAAGGCCAATAACCCGGACATCAGTCACCGTGAGGCTTTCAGTACTGCCGCTAAAAATGTAAGTTAAAGTATGACGCTGACTTGTTTATGGTATACACTCGATTTTGTGTAGTTCGTACGTATACATAACAATCTTGCTTGACATTAACTCGTATTTGTTATGGTATTATGGATCAGTGGGCACACTTCCCTCACATTCACTTTGGGTTGATGTTGGAGACTAACAAGAAAACAACCTACTAAGCTCCGTTAATCATCGTTGTCGACGTTTCATGTAAGTGCTATAAGATGGAGGTGCGATTACCTAACCAATAGACTATATCGATTCTAACATGAAAGCTAATAATGTTCAGTTTGGTTGATATTGTAGGGTTGAGAGAGAGAAAAATGCTTTAATGTGAAGGGGTTTGCCACAATTGATGGCTGATAAATGCTAATTGAGGAAGGAGCTCGAGCCTTGATGGATCTTCCATGGTTGTTCTTGATTTTCATAAGATTATGAAGTACTAATTCCATTTTTAATTATCAAAGCATGCTTTTGTTTCTTCCTTTCTTTTTGCAAAATGTTGAATTATGTACAACGGTGGGTTGGATTTTAAGTATATGTACACATATAAGTAATGCAATATGTTCCTATGAATATTGGATGTGTTTGGTTGTCGGAATTATAATCATGATACCTGAATTCATGTGGTTCAATGTAGTAATTTACTTCAACAATCAGAGGAATAGTTCAATAAGGTGTTGATTTCACTCTCCCATCAAATTTATCCAAATACACACTTTCACCATTATATAAAAAGAAGGATATATTGTTTGGTTAACCTTTCCTTCAAAAAAATAAATTTAATTTGATTATACACTTTGGTTCAATCTACAAATTTTATATAATAGCCGAATTCAGTTACTGTCGCATCTCCTACATGACATGTGAATCGCGATGAATTAACTTGCTGATTATATACATGTTATAGCATACACAATTTCCTATATTCAAATAATACTATGCACATAATTTCAACTTCAGATTTTTGTTCATACTTCGTAGATTATATTTGTACATGAAATAAACGAAGTGTCACTAAGGAACATAAATTCATGTATTTTTGAACTCCTTTCATAAAATATCGAGTTTCTGGTCATTGTGCAATATCTCTTGACAACTGTAATATATCAATTATCGATTTAACCACAAAGTACATATACGATAGTCGATAAGTCTTCATTTATATGATTATATCATGTAAATTAAATATATAGTTTGAGTTCCTCCCATTTACAGCGACGACAGTGAGTCAGTGAGTGAGGCTTAGCGACTGAATTTCAGGCGGGCGGTGCCGTCATTTTCAGCCTGGGTTCTGCTTCTGCACGAATGCGTTGGAGTTTGGACACCAGCCATCTCTTCTCTTGGCTAGTTTTTGTTTGCTGGCTACAACCTGAAACTCTTCCAAGTTTCAATTTATCATTTTATTATGGACACTTTTTACATCTAAGATTTAATTTCACCCCAAATATCATATTGATAAATTTGGAGCATTCAATTGGAATTAAATATGCCAACTCATCAAATTAGGGTGAGTTAGTTGGGTCATGAGGAGGCTTGAGAGTTGTTACGTCGTCATTTTGTTATGATTTCGCAACAATGTCGGATGGTGATCATGATGGGAGCGATGTCACTGGCCATGAAATCGTGTTGTATGTGCAAAGAATCGGTTAGTCTCAATAATTCAAATTTATCATGTTGAGGAAATTCTGTGAGGAAGGATAAGTTCATCCTATTATTCGAATGCTTCTTTCGGAAGCTTATGTGGGATTCTTTCTGAAAAGCATGATATTTGTGCGATACCTTTCATGTATTTCCGGTCCTTGCATGTCTTCTCAGAAATAGCAACATTCCATTATTGAAAATTATTTAGAACGTAATCAGATATCATACAAGAACAAGAAGAAAGCTTTTGCCCCTGGTCCGTGGCATATAAAGTATATGAGAGGGGAAAAAAGAGTTTGAGGTTGCAAGAATAAGCTCTTTGGTAGAATCTCGAAAGAAGAGAATAGCTTGTAACGTTTACGTTGTTAATCAGTGCAATAACGCTAGACCAAAAATTTAATAAGAGAGTCAAAGAAGGTGTTTGGCAATGCCATAATGTATAGGTAGACCAAAAATTTTGTCTTGGGGAGAGGATAATGAGTATCTAGACTTGTATAAGATCCCAAACTTTGGTTATGAATGATTGGACCACAATGACAACATTAATTATAAAGATAATACAAGAATCTAATTTCCACATATATATATAGGAATAATGTGACATGGTCCCAACTATATTTGGTCGTCTAGGGATAACATACTTCACAAGAACCACAAAATCCAATCTACACCTTTAATTTGGATCGACATACATGTGTGTCATTGTAATGTCTACCAGGGGACAAAGAAAGTGATAGGTTGCAAAATTGCCCTATTCTAGGCTGGCTTTGAGATTTACCTATTCAACTCATGTTACTCAAACTAAGCATTGTGAAGATTTGATTATGAGACTTTTTTGTCATTCCAATTCTAATTATTCAATTATCAAAAGAAGTATTAAACTACAAAGAATATAATGTATCATTTCGTAGAAACAGTTGCACAACAGACGAACTTTCTAGTTGTGTTTGACATTAGTTAGACATATAATTTTTTGTTTTGTCTTCTCCTCGAAAAGGGAATGTAATTTTTTCTGAATGTAATTTTATCAGAATTCATCACAGGGAGAAAGATGGTTAGAAACCTCAACCCAAAACCTACACAAAGCAACTCTTAGTGAAGGCACTCTACGAAATCAAAGGACGCACGCTAGCTATAAAGAGGACAACTACAGAGTTTTAGGAGGCACTCTAAGGACAATTCAGTTGGCAGTACACGAAACAATCCTAAAAACGATACAAAGAGAACACGACTCCAACAACCGAGGACACTCTCAAAGCAGGGTACCTCCCAACAAAACTTTCACCGACCTACGGTCCGTTGCCGGATCACACCACCTTCATAATCACCTTTGAAAGGGAATGTAATTAGTGGTTATATGTATGACAATAAGAAATGAAACCAAATGAAAAAATGTGTTCTCTTTCCCTTTCAAAAGCATATATATACACATATATCTAGCAAAACTTGAAGACTTAGCCTGTCTACCACTCACTTCCTCCTCACATTATAACAAAAGCCACCCCTCCCTAGCTTTCTCTCATTGAAAGGGAATTTCTCGATCCCATATTGGACCACTCAACAATTTCTTTGGCTTCCTGGCAAATGGGGTAGCATATTATTTCCCAGGCCAGTCTCATATAAAGAGAGAATCCCTATACACACATATATCATCACTACTAGGGATGGCAATTTACCCACCCATGGGTAATTTTGCCCAAACCCAAGTAGACCCATTTATTATGGGTGGGTTTGGGACGGGTGATGTGTGTATGGGTTTGGGGTTTGTATATGGATTTGGGTTAGATATGAATATTATCTAAATGGGTATGGGTTGGATATGGATATCCATTTACTTGAGGGTGTTTTAACTACACATGCAAAAATTGGACTTATTTGTAAAACTTGAAAATTTTAGGTACCAAAATGTAAGACCAAAAAAATTTAGGTACCAAAACGTAATTTTCCATCGATATCTTGAGGACTTATATGCAAAAAAAATTAAATTTAGGTACTAAATATGCATATCTATTAAGTTTAGGTACCAAACTGTAATTTGTATTTGGGCATGGGTACAAACCCAAATCCATTTGTTATAAACCCAACCCAACCCAAAGTAAATGGGTATGGGTACAAACCCATCAAACTTTACCCATATCCATATATTTGGATTTCATACCCAACCCAATTGGGTTGGATAGTAAAATACCCATGGGTATGGGCAAAATTGCCATCCCTAATCACTACAACAAAGAAGAGCATTGTGATTTGAGATAGGGCACTAGCTAGCTAGTGACCCAATCCTTTTTGGCACATGGACAACATATATGGTCACTGCTTACCGTCAATCAGTAATCATTTCGTATCAATAACTCGAGTTGGTATGAGAGATTCAAGTATGAATCGTGAACCAAAGTTAATCCACGAGTGACAGACAGGGCGATATGGTGAGTTAGTGTGAATTTCATGTTTGAGACTAGTATGGGAGTAATCTAAAGTACTATATATGAATTGTACATTTGTACCCATATTCCAAGTCGTTTGTTGGTCAAAATCTCCTGTTTTACTTTTACCATGGCCTCGCTTATCAGCTTTTCTCTTTGAGAGTGAGGGGTTCATTTGCATATGCCCATAAAAGAAAAAGTCTAAAAGAGCAAAGGCTATAATTTGTTTTCTTGCTTTTACGAGTATTATGGCTTTTTATATGCAATCATTTTTTTATAAAAGATAATAATATATTGATTCAAAAGAAAATACTTACATTTTGGAATTCAGTCAGGCATAAAAATTAAAGAAACGACTCATAGTCGGATACAAAGAAAGGGCTTTACGAGCCACCGAATTGTCAACCCTATTGTTACGACGACCTACAAATCGCACACTAAATCCGCTATGGACTGCCAAATACTGCACAATTTCTTCAAGAATCGCTCACATCCGATTATCCCTGGTATCCGCCTCGAGGATCTTCTCAATGACCACTTTCGCATCCCCCTCAAACCGTATCTCCGTGAAGCCATGAGCCAGACACAGTAAGATGGCCTCCCGAAGCACAAGTAATTCAACCACCATAGGGCCATCAATTAGGGGGAACTGCACTCCCTCAGCCACAAGGATCTGCCGGGCTTGGTTCATAATAACCACCCCACCTGTCGAATGAGACCCACTTTTAACAGCCCCATCCCACATACAAACAACAGTGTGTGGCCCACCAGGATTCAATTGCTGTGCAGGGGGGCGTAAGAATGGATAACATATGAAATTGTTTTTTCGTATTGATTGCAAATTTGTATGAAATGTGGTCTATATGTGTATTAAATGAGTAAATCGAAGGAAGAATAATCAAATGTGTAAACCATAACCCTAATTTCAATTTTCAAAAATGCAAAACCACATTCAAAATCATAACAACTACATACCCTAAAAAGAGTGGATCATTACTCTATTTCCAAAGATGCAAAGCACTTAAATTTCTCGGTACGTCCACAATGTCGTGGAGCAATCGCGAGCACAAAATTATCATTATGCATGAAGTTAAACTTCGCTTCAAACATAATTTTAATGATGAATTAAGATGGAATAATATATATGATGTTAGAGCTTGACATTGAGAAATCACTACCATACCGTAGACTCTACGATTTCCTTATTCGGATTTGATTCAATCTCGTTATGTGCACACTGTCAGGTCAAGATATGTGTTTAGACTATCAAATTTTAGTGTTTTTTTTTCCTACCAGAATTTTCAACCCTCCTAAAACGAACCGAACAAACACACGTAATTAACAATCGGTAGATTCCATTCCATCGAGCCAAAACTTGTGTACGATCTGAATAAATTCCCAGCTAGAAATCAAAGAAAGCAAGACGGCTTTTGATTTGAAAGTTGAGAAGGGGTAATGCGGTGTGTACTTTGCTACTCCAAAATTTGCTAGGGCTTCTTGGGTTTGTGCAGCAGACAGCAGCAAAAGCTGTTGGTTGGGTTGGGTTGGGTGGCTAATGGAATCATTCATATATGCATGGATTGGCCATGGCGAAGAAAAGAAACCATATATATTGTAAATATACAGTACGTACAAAGAAGAAAAAGACGACTTTTCTGACACTTAGAATCTGAAACGTCAACTTCATGTCTGTCTGAAACGCATTCAATCTCAATGGGTTTCTTCTGTTTTATCTTTTTTATTATTTGGTTTTATAGGCTCTGTCACTTCATTCCGACTTTCTCCCCCACGCCCCACGCTAATGGCGATAAACCCCCCGCCCTTTCTGCTTCGGAGTTTGAGCTTATTGTTTAGTTACCGCACATGATCTTGCAATTGTAATCCGTGGCAACGTTTAAACTTTAACATGGTGAATTTTGAGACCCTAATTGCTGACAATCTCGGGCTAACCAAGTGCATACACACCATTCTTCGTGTCTTGTGATGCATGATATGTACACACTAGCAATTACAGACATTACGTACATCATTGCTTGTTTATAGTTGTTGTATCGATTAAGCGTAATGTTATCTACAAGATCCCACTCTCCAGCCGATACTATAATCGACTTTCTTGGCTTAGCAACCTGGAGTTTGACTTGCCTACGACATCACTCAAATAGCAATTGTGGGTAAGGAGGGTTCTCCATCAATAAAAAAATGTACTCTATTATTTACGTCTTTTATGTTACATGTATGAATGTTAATTGAAAGAGTTCACCTATTATTTAAATTATTAAACCACAAGTTCGCAAAACTTAAAAAATAATCCGGTTACTGTTCCTTACGAAAAATCCGGTAGCCACTGTTCACAAAGGAGTTCTATGATTCTCTGCGTTCAGATTCACATAAGCCCGTGTTTAAAAAATAATCCGGTTACTGTTCCTTACGAAAAATCCGGTAGCCACTGTTCACAAAGGAGTTCTATGATTCTCTGCGTTCAGATTCACATAAGCCCGTGTTTATCTTTGTTGGGCTGGTCAAGCACGGGCTTTTTTTTTACAACAAATCGTCCGCACCTTATCACTTTGTTCTCCATCACACAATAAATATATAAAAATTTTAATTCAAAAACCAAAAACTTCAATGTAAAAAAGAAGCTAATTAAAAGACGAAAAACATCAATGAGAAAACGAGGGGTTGAATCCCCCCTGTACCTCACCCCTGAACCCGCTGAACTTTACTCTGGCAAACAATTGCAGAGATTCAGCATCCTAATATCCTCCAGTCTCCCTATTGATCCCTATTCATCGTAATCTTCTTTTTCCCTGACGTTTCGGCTCCGTGGGTCGTTCAACCTGATCAATTCAAAAGCATAGAGAAATGAATAGACGAATTGAGGATTTTGATCGAAGAAATCGGTATCAAGCCATGCACGATGATAAGGAGACCATGTCAAATAGAGAAAGAGACGGCACGGTTTTTTTTGGAAGGCGTCACTGTAATCGGTTCTGCATGCTTTATCGAGATCGATGGAGGTCCGGCGTTTAAATCCCTTTCATCTTCGGCTGCCATGGTCTCCTTCCACAGACTCCTACAACAATGAATCCCAACCCTAGGTAACCGGAAAAGAGACGAGATTTGAAGGCTACCACATGTAAGGTTAATCAACAAAGTACTCTCTGAACATGCGATCCCATTAATACCCAAGCATATAGAATTTTAAAAGGTTTGAACCTGCATCATCGAATGAAGTGAAAAACGAGATAAAATACCGAAATCTATAACATTTTACCTGGGTTATTTGAAAGAGCAACATAGTGGCAGCATTGTGGATTCTCCCAGTGGTGGTAAACTCCGCGGATTCCATAGTTGGCGAACCACAATCTGTGCGACGACAGAGCTGACGTAGAGTTGGTTGGACCAGTAGTCGAAGAAATTATTGACGAAAGGGAGAAGGGAACATGAGATTAGGCCGAGAACCATGTCCGGAAATTTGTAGTGGGTTGAGTCAGATCGTCAGTGATTGGAACCATCAGCCGCACCTGCTCAATTGGGTTGCCGTTCACTACTACTACGTTCTCCCCTGTTTTAAAACAGAGTATACCAAGAAAGAAGAAAGGCCAGAAAAACAGAGCATTGGTACAGATATCTAACTCAATTGGAGCTTCATCTTTCGAATAGATTGATAAGGGTTTCTGTAATTTGCCTCTTTTACCAATTTCAACAAGAGAAATAGGGGTCATTTATGAACATGATGGACTTAAAGATATGTGCATGAGCCACACGTGTCTTTATTTGCAATGCAGAAAGCCACCTGTATTGCCTATAACCTTAAAAAAAGATAAAGTGATGTAACAAAACTTTTACTTTTTGTTTTACTTTGATCTCTGATTAGAGATGTCATAGTTTGATTTGTGGAAATAATTCTAATTATTGCAAACCAATTACCCGCTATTAGTTCCTTACTTTGGGATTTGCTAAGTGGGTTTTATTGTAATTCTCTCAAACTTTAGGGTCAATTTCTTTTAGTACAATAGGTATCCACTTTTTCCATTTTTTATAATGAAATCATAACGTGTCTTTATACTACTCTTATTTTACACAACCCAAAAACTTTCATAACGGTGGTGTGATTCGGTTTGAGTAATGGATCTTGACGTGATACATCTTCGTAATGAAAATAAATATGATATAAAATAAGCACTGTGAAAAATCTACTTCAAAAAGATAATTGTAAGAAGTGAATTAAAAACGATATATGTATTTCATCAATGCATATTCCATCAATGCATTTTTTATATTTGAATCTTTATCAATTACAATATTTATGCGTTTTCAGGATATTCGAACTAATATTTTTGTTTTTGCAAATAGTCCAATTTTGAAATCCGAGACCTCATTGTTTTTTCTGGATATTATGTATGATTGCACACATTCTTTTTTAACTGATCGTAGATAAAACTGTTTTATTTACCGTTTCACATTTGAAATTACATTATATCAGTTTATCATATTTACAAAATACAAACAGAATAGAATACAACCTGCGCGAAGCGCGGGCTTTGATCCTAGTTATATTTATGTTCCCTCCCTCACCAATCCCTATCACACTCTCTACTACTCTTTTATAATGGCTCTTTCTCTTCTCCAACAATCCACCAAAACCATATTGAAAAGAAGAAAAAAAGGAGAGCCCACTGCAATTTCTCCCCTCCAATCATATCTGGGATTGCTCATTTTCATCCACTCAATGATCATGGGTCCTTTTGAAGTGGGATCTATATATAATGTAAAAAGCCAACCAAAGCTTGAATAAACATCATCTCCATCTCCTGCAACCATATCAATCCTGTCCTTTCAAGTGGGCATCCAAAGCAAAGAGATAAACCAGAACCATATGTATGAAGTTGGTGCTCCCCATAATGGGAATGGAAGCCACCAACCAAACCCTACTACATATGATTCCAAGAAATGGCATCAATCAATCACATGCTTTTGCTTCCTGCACACATGGAATTCCTCTTTCTAATGGATATTGTTTTGAGATAATAATACAAGAAAAGAGAAACTAGCAACTCAAATTTCCATCCATCTGGTTTATTATCTCCAGAGATCCAACAGAGTTGCACCAAGGAACCATTCAGAATAGCCCTTTTTCTCCCCCACCAAATCAGGATAAGAATGAGCCATAAAGCATCCAGATACCATCTACCCCCTTTCAAGTTTCTTCTCACAAAACTGGAAGAGTTCAACTATGAGGGAAGAAAGGAATTTGGATATAACACAACCAAACAGGTCCTAGGAACACCGAATCAATTTCATCAGTAACACACAGAGTCTTTCCCTATGGAGCTGAAAGAAACCCTACTGCTCTTGTCCGATCCGAACTTGAATTTCAAATCGGATGCCCCATCTGGCAGGGAGCTACTGCTGCTCGTAGAAGGGAATGAGAAAACAAGGGCAGGGGTGGTGCCCTTGTTTGAGCCGAAGCTGTAGGTAGGGATTGACTGTTCTCCAGCTTCCGGCTCATGCAGACCGTTTGCAGAAGAAGATGGCATGGAGGGCGTTGGAGGCTCGGTGAGCACGCCAGTAGATGATGCAGGAACTTGGAAACTGAAACTTGCGCTGCCATCAGAAGACGCCCACTTCTGTTCACGCTTTCCAATGGCAATAGAAGGCGGAACTTGTCTAGTTCCTGACGAATGTGCTGGAGGTTTCCTCTGTAGACTTGGCACCTATCGTGATGTTAATAGAATATACACAGAGAACAAGTAACTCAGAAACAATTTCATTGAGATTTCATTCAAGGATAGTATTCACAAGATGCATAGAATACCTCATTCACTTTAAAGATTTGAGAATCCACATTTTCCCTTGGAACTTGTGAAGGCCCGGGATCAACAACATTACTGCCAATTGTTATGCCAGGAGCAGAGGATTTTCCGTTCAAATCACTAGTGGTATCCTGAGGATCCTTGAAAAGGGACTTCCCTCTATCTTCACTCCAATGTATGGACTTCTTTTTGTTATCAGCTTGATTAGATTTTCCTGATGAACCAAGAATCCCAAATTGAGGCAAGCTATCATTCTCGGGTGGTGTAAAAGCAGCCATGTCAGAAGACGACTCGGGCTTCTTCCAAGAAGTAGCCAGCCTTAATTCATCAGACTTTTGCTTTGGGGTAACTGGGTTTCTGTCCAGATGCTCCAATATCTTGCGAGCTACCTGACTAGAATGTGAAGGAACAATAGGAGTACTGACTTCAGAGTAAGGCTTTCTTCCTGTTTCTGATTCTTTCTTCCAGGCGGAAAATATCCCTTCTGGCGCATCGTAGTTTTCAACTTTAGGAGTATCCACAGATGACCTGGCAAAGGGAGATCCTCTAGCTGAAAGCTCTACAGCACCTTGTCGTCTTGTTCTTCGGATAGGTCCAACAGATGCTTCACCAATATCCAACTTCCTTTCCCTGGTACTAAACTATAATTCAAACCAAAACATTGCTAATAATTTAGGCAACAACTACGACGATCAAACTTCTCTTTAAATGCAAGGTCATAACATTTCAGCATCACAAGTATATGCTAATATGAGAGCTTACCTGTCCATAAGTGGATGATTGAGACTGCTGGAATGGAGTTGACGGCATGTTCAGGGATCTTCCACTGTTCCCTTGCAATTGAATTGGCTGGTGGCATTAAAGCAGGAAGCAACCATTGATGAGCAACAGAATCTTTAAAAAAAGTATTGACTTTTACCAATCAACTTCTAACCTTAGACTTTGATTTTGAGGCAATAGCTCTAGAGTAAGGGGTCCTAGGAAAGCTTTGGAGCCCGAATCTCCCTCTTTGGCTGAGGGGTGTGGCATACTCACTCTGACCTCGTACCCTAGCACCTGGCCAGCATGGTGACGGCCTAATAGAAGATGAAGGGGTAAACGGTTTTAGTGCCAGCTCATCTCCACGAGATGACGGCCCTTCATCGTTTACAGCTGCATCCTCTAATCCGAATCCTGATTCTGATGTCCGTTTTTGCATGTACGCTTTGGCGATTTGGATTGGTGAAGCACCAACTTCATCTTCAACCTGCATAAATGCACAGAACTAAGAGATGATTCTGCAAGCAGATAAAATTTGGATAGCATTATTCTTTTACAAACTATGAGCAGAATATGAGCTGCAAGCCCAAAGGAGCGAAAATTATATTCATACATTGCCATGCTATATGAAACAAGTGGATAGCTCAAAGTCGGATTAGAACCCTACAAACTATCTTCAGATAATTCCACTTGCACATACTCTAGTCCTCCAACCAATCTTGTGAAACTAAATCGATCAGCAGATGCATAAGCATAATAAGAAGCAAGCTCCATAATGGATAAGAATACACACTCATTACTTAATGTGGCAGATGGAATATATAAGTTCTCTGTTAATAATGCACTCACAGTCGGCTGGATAAGAGGAGTTGAACCTCCCCAAGTGGCTCTGTTCATATCATCATGCTGTACTTCAGTAGACTTCCTGGAAGTTTCAGCCCAAACTGCAGGCTGGATAATGCCTTGTGTAACTGAACTCGTGTACTTCTTCTCAGTTTCTCTGCGCCATTGTGAATCTTCAAGGAAAGCCGAAGGCTGAGCATCCCGCCCAAACATCCCAAAATTCTGCTTCTGTTGATCCTTGTACGGGGAATTAGCAGCCCTTGAATGGATTATCTCAATCAGCCGATTGACTTCACCCCTACACAGCAATGGAGACCACACATTGAACTTCATCGACCATACCACATTCTATGCACATATCACAGTGCACGAAGATCTCAAGGGGCTGAAAATGAATCCACAAAAGAGCTTCACCTAGAAAACTTTTTGTTCTTCAGTAACTGCTCGATTGCCGAAACCCCGTCGCCACCAAGATCAGAAGTTTTCACTGTATGATGTTCATCAACTCTTTTGATCTCCCGACGAGAATTTGATTCGTTGGTTGCTTCATTAGCACCACCGAGGTCAGTTGATCCCGAAACCAGATGCTGCAATAACAGCCCAAACCCGAGCATCAGTATAAATTCGTTGAAACGCTCAGGTCACTGCTAAGAACACTCAAACAAAGCATGAACAGTGTAAAGGCCTCACATTGAATGAAAAACTGCTTTCATCCCTTCCCGCATTTTCTTCAACCTGATTGCCGGACTCACCTGGTAAGATGAGTTTAACTGCAATCAATTAATTGAATCATAATAACCCTAATCAATAACACCAAGACGAGTGAAATACGAAAGAACAAGTGAGCAATTCAAAATCGGAACTAGGGTTCAGCTTCGAAAGATAAAAAGAAAAGAACCAACCGTGATCCTCTTCTTCATCATCATCATCATCATCATCATCATCATCTTCTCCTCTCCGTTCAGCAGCAACAGGAGGAGCTGGGAGGGCGTTTCCCGATTGGGAGAAGTAGCTGGGCAAAATTAGGTTAGCGAGCTTGGAGAGCCAGGGCCGCGTGCGCTGTGCCAAGCTCTGCTGCGGCCGAGCATAAGGCGTAGCAGGAGCAGCAGCTCTCCTGGCTGGACGCTTCCTGAACTTGCCTCCGGCGCCTCGGTCTCCTTCTCCGGCAGGGTACGGCTGGCGGGGCTCGCTGTTCCTCTCCATCGGGTCACCGTCGAGGGGAAGAGCAAGAAAGGCGATTTGGAAGCTAGTGTTTAGTGAGGGCGCGGGTTTTCCACTTTCACTCCCTTTTTCGGCTTTGTGGGGGCGGGATGGGAAGGCGCGGGGGATGTGAAATTTTGGGGGTTTTTTTTACCGCCGGCGACCGGCGGAGACGAGACGAAGGTGGAGAAAAAAACTAAAAAGAATGAATTAGATTTATGGGCTCTGGCCCAATCAGGGCATGTAATTAGGCCGAAGAAGACAGGTGCCTCCAGTCTGTAAAAGCCCAGTCGGTGAAGAAAATGGTTTGAGATTTATTAGTTCATAGGAACTTTATCGGTTTAATCCATTTTATACATAAAATAGAAATATATCTATGTATATAGTCATAATTTAAGATTTTAATAACCTAAAATTAATTTGATAGATATCATACAATAATTTAACAATTAATATACTATCTTATTCTAAAAGTTGCGTATATATGCTTCATTTTTAGAATAGGGTTTGAGAGAGGACCAAAAAGCAACATTTTATCCAAAATCACGAAACTAGTCAATTCGGTCAGATCATTGGTCTTTTGCGGCTTTGGCAGATTTTTGTAGGTCTTTATCGATTTTGACCATCTAGCGATTTGGAGGGAAAATGGCTTTATGTAGGCTGTTTTCAGCATCGACACTAGTTTTACCTAGTTCAACTAATCAGTCTGACTATGACTTGACAACACTGGTTCTAGCACATACCTCATTCTAGTGTGATAGTCCATTATCTTTTTTTTTATAACCCAGGAATCTTAACCCCACGTGCCACTGTGATAGTCCATTATCTGTTTGACGAGTTAGTTGCAAACCAACAAAATATTAATTGTTATCGACTTAACCAATAATCGACAAGAACTTAAGTAACTCGCACCTTAATGAAGAATACAATGCGAATGACATCCTAATGAATACAAACAACCCCTATTTTTCAAGAATTGTCATTGAGACCTAAAACTTCGTCATCGAAACTTTCTATGTTTCTCATATAAGAATTTGATAGAAATCCAAAAAAAAAAAAGAATGACGAAGTAGGATGTTTTCGAGAACACGTCTTTGAAATTTGATTCACTAATGTGTTCTGTGACATATTTCACTCCAAATGAACAACAATCATACAATGATCACAGGAGCACTTATGACCATTCCCCCACCCTCCACATCTCCGTGTTCTATGGCCTCCATTATTGAGTTTCAACATCTGAAAGAACCCTAAAGTAAAACAGTTCATCCACTCCCCTCCTCAACAGTGATAAATCGCCATGATTAACCCACCACTAGCATGCTGCTGACAAGATAGAAGCATCACTTTCCTCTTGATTCCAAAAGTCCATCTAAACCCATCACAAGCTGAACTTTCTGGCACATCACAACGATGGGTTGCTAGTAGTTCTGTAAATAAGTCAACAAACGAACAGCTTACTGTGAAGTGAAGAACAATTACCTGCAGAGTGAAGAAGAACAACAGCCATCCAAATGACACCATTCCAATTTCAGTAACTCCAACAAAGAAAAAAAACAAAATACTACAGTACACACAGAGAACCAAGTTCCTTCCACACCACTTTGTCTTCTGATTCCAGCACCTGCAGACAGAAGAAACATCAGAAACCAACTTGTTTTGGCACAATATCTAATCCTGGCAACGTTTAAGAATGACTCGGACCAACAATTGCACAGAAGAAACCATGTTCATGCGATTTTAAGGGTGGCAAAGATTATTTTTTCCCAAGTGGTGCCTGCTATAACACCGCCCATCCGCTGCTGTCCGTCCCTACAAAGAGCACCAATCTTTCGTTTCCATAAACTTCCCCATCAATCAAAATCCATACCTATGAACCAGTGGATCAGTTTCTTCAACTAGACTTACGAGGGAGGAGAGGAAGTTCTGAACTTCAGTTTATGCTGTCAACTCAGCTTCTAATCACCAACAAGAAAATCATCACTGCCCTTTTCGATAGGAGCACCAGCTCGGCGCTATTTATGATGCTGGTAAGAGTTGGTTGGAGATCAGATGAGAAAAATGGAAATCGAGAAAGGAGCTATTGTAGCTGTTTTCCCACCCGAAGAGACGAGAGATGCTTATAGAGTTGCTTACATATTCCACTTCTTGCTTGGTGCAGGCAACTTGCTCCCATGGAATGCATTCATCACAGCGATCGATTACTTCGGCTCTCTCTACCCGAACAAACACATCGAAAGGGTCTTCTCCGTGGCTTACATGAGCTCTTCTGTGTTGGTTCTGGTGGTGATCATGAGCCAAGGTGGCTGGAGCAGCAGGATGAGTTGCAGGCTGAGGATGAACTTAGGGTTCTCCCTCTTTGTTCTCTCCATGATGGTTGCTCCAACTCTGGACTGGAGCAGCAGAAATGGCTCGATGCCCACCGGAGCCTATGGCATGACCGTTGCGTCGGTTGTGGTTTGTGGATTTGCAGATGGATTGATTGCCGGTAGCTTGATTGGTTCTGCTGGGAAGCTTCCCAAGCAGTACATGCAGGCAGTTTTTGCAGGAACCGCCTCTTCAGGTAAACCAATTTGTACATCACAGTAAAATAGTGAAAGTTCTTTTGCTTATACCTAAATCATCATTTTGCATTGTCACAGGGGTTCTTGTCTCTATCCTGAGGATCACCACAAAGGCAATGCTTCCCCAGACGCCTCAGGGTCTCCGAACGAGTGCACACTTCTACTTCATTGTCAGCACTGTGATCCTCCTCTGCTGCATCTTCTTCTGTAACTTGCTGTACAAGTTACCAGTTATGCAACAGAACCACAACAAGCATGATGCTGTTGCTGGTGCTGATAATTCCAAGCCGAGATTCTGGTCTGTGGCGAGGAAAATCCAGTGGCCAGCTATCGGTTTACTGACAATCTATCTCGTCACTCTCTCGATCTTCCCAGGATTCCTGGCAGAAGATGTCAAGTCAAACCTGCTGAGTGACTGGTATCCAGTTCTGCTGATAACAATATACAATGTGTCAGATTTCGTAGGCAAGTCTGTGACAGCAATACATGTTATGGAGAGCATCAAGATGGCCACCTGGGGTTGTTTCCTCAGGCTGCTGTTCTATCCACTGTTTGCAGTCTGCCTCCATGGACCAACCAAGTGGCTGAGATCAGAAGTTCCAGTTGTGGTTCTGACTTTCATGCTCGGCGTAACGAATGGTTATCTGACAAGTGTCCTGATGATACTCGCCCCGAAATCGGTCCCAGGTTCCGAGTCTGAGCTGGCTGCAATTGTGATGGTTGTGTTTCTAGGGATCGGGTTAGTCTCTGGATCTGTTCTGGGATGGTTCTGGATCATATGAAAAAGCTCCATTTCCAAGAAGAATTTCACATGTACTGCTTTGATCTGCAGAAAAAAAAAGTTCAGACCACCCAGACAGCAGCACATTGTTTGTAATCCTTTCTTAATCAGCTTCAATTATCTTTCATCATCCAACTTATCTTAATTAGCAAGAAAACAAATGGGTTTTCCCATCCAGTGAAAGAAGTGATCATAACTTCCCATAAGGAGACATTCATGGTACACCCAGGTGTAACATGGAGCTCCATGTTAATCAACTTGCCTTACCAAAGGACACATCAATAATTGAACCCTATTTCCCTATACAGGCCAAAAGTAAAAGGGTACGAAGAAAACTCCAAAAGCAGCAGCAGCAGTTTGTGGAAGCGGGATGGGTGCACTGAACATTTAGGAGGTTTTGTCAACAGCAGCAATCACATGTATGTATGGACCATCTTCCTGCTTTAAAAGCACTCAAGATAAGAAAAGGAATGGGCAATCAATACCAATGTTCATGAATGGTGGTAAGACATCGATTTTGATCTACGATTTAACCAATATGATCGGCCAGTGCAAATACACAGATACGATAACACTCTAAAAAGTACTCGCAATTTGTCATGAACAGGTTAAGACAATGGGAAAATATGTCTTTCATAAGCTCCATGACTTATTTACTTACACATAAGGCTTCATTAGTCTCCGCCGGAAAAGGGGCTGCTTGAACAAACAAAGGATCTATGGCTTTTGGCATCACGAAGAGATGGCCTTTAACTTCAGTAGCAGCAGGAAGAGATATTTTTTTGTCCCTTTGTCGATGGAATATTCACATTCACACACAGAGAAAGACAAGAGAGACAGAGTAAGCAAAAAAAGGGACTCATTCCATTTCTTATTATGATTTCTACAAGAGATATAGAGATGGGTCAATGAACGACAGAGTAGTAGCAGTAGTGATTGAAATAAGAAAAGCCAAAACTGTTAAAACAAAAGAGGGAAAGGGGCTATAAACAGAAAGGGAAAGGGGTTAGAACTTAGATGCTGTGAAATCTAAAACCTATATTACAAGATTTTTTGGCCAAAAGGTTCAAGCTTTTCAAGAAGCAGCCGTTAATGGAGGAGGGAGGGGTGGAATTCCTTGGAAGTAATTCGGTGATGACAATTTGTTCATCTCTGGAACCAAATCCACTCCCGTTTCTTCCTCTACTTCTTCTTCCTCCTCCTCGGAATCCCAAAGGAAACGAGCATATGAAGCAAGAACATAGCTGTCAATCATCAAAACGAAAACCAGAAACACCATTACTAAAGCAGTCCTACCATGTTAGGGATTAGATTCCAATACAATTTGTTGACAATAGAATCAAGAAAAGGGTTCAATCTGTTCTTACCAATCTTCAGGAGCAGCTTTAACAGCTCGATCGAAGTAACTTTCAGCTCGAGAAGAGTCCTTGTGGCTCCGCCATATCAAATCGGCATACATGGAAAGAACATCACCGTCGTTAGGGTTAGCCAGGATTGCTCTCCCGCAGTACTCTTCCGCCTTCACAAAATCCTGACGAACCTGCAAAACATTCAGCAATTCGAATCCTTTTAGCAAATGGAAACAATGAAAATTCATTTCTTTCCGATTGAAGATTCAATTCAATCAACTCATTACCTCTTTCAGAAACTTGGCATAATTGCCAAGAAGAAGCGAATTCCCGGGATTCGCATCGATCATCGCCTCGTAATACACCTCCGTCTTGTAATTCGAATCCCAGAACTCCGAATTCCCATCTCTCCCTCCGCCGCCGGAGCTTCCACCACCGCCGCCGCCGATTCTCCCGTCGCACCCACCTGCGCCGTCGCCGACCAAAAGCGCG